GGCTGGAGACCCCTGATTTAGAATGAGTCAAACTTGCACCAGTTTGCAGTAAAAAAGTTCTATTTGATCATTTGGGTCAATTCAGCAGGAGGCTTAAGGGCCATAGTTTGGACACCACTGTCTTAAATGAACACTATGTAGCCTGAACTCTAAAAAAAAATAATAAATTAGAATCACAACTGTTTGTAATAACAGATAGACTACACACACGTTTTCTCAGTTTCACACGTTGTCTCAGGCCTCATGTGAAGCTCAGAACCTCCAGAATCCACTCACTGAGCTGCAGAGGCTGAACTAGCACTGAATAATATTTGGCTGCAAGTGCTGGGGTTTAGTAGCCAGGTTGGTGCCAACTAGTGCCTCTGCTTAATTTCATTTCAGAATCAGAATACACTACACAGTTCGCACAAACCCTGGAAGTGCGAGTTCGGGCATCAGCCAATCAGCGAAGAGCCATATATTCTGTGTTGGCAATGATTCCCGAGATCGAGGATTTAAAGCCAGAACAAAGAGAATGTTTGGTGAATTTTATCAAGAGGAAAGACGTTTTTGTCCTTCTTCCTACAGGATTTGGGAAAAGCTTAATATACCAGTTAGTCCCGTTAGAGGTGCATTACATACATCACGACCAAATAGCAGCGATCGGTTAAATAAAAAAAGTACCAGCCTACCATCGAGCGAACGAATCCTAATGCTGTGAGTGAAACTGGCTGATGGATCAGACTAGGAATTTAGGTAGTGACTGTTTTGAGCATGTTCATCTTGTATCTGGTGGACACAGACAGGTCATGTTTATGGAATTTTTGAATTAAATTGGGCCTGAGTAGTACTTGGATGGGAGGCCACAGGGAATTCCAGGTGGGGCGCCAGTGGCAAAAAAAAAAAATCTGTCGTTGTGTCCTTAGGCTTTTTTGGGTATCTTGAAAGGCACTATATAAATGCAATCAATCAATCAATCAAAATCATATACAGTTCCTTTAACTTCTGGGATGATGGATAATGCATAAACTAAAATAATTTCTAAAGTGTATAATTTGACTGTGTTGGTCCATAGTAGTTGAATTATGTCACTAGTTGCTGGGCAGATTTGGCACTTGTCTTAAAGTCACACAGAGGGCTGTGTGAAATATGTATACTTCTGTCCATAATTTATAGGAATGATGTGTATGCTGTGGTGCGAGGTCAGGGAATATTTTACCCACGAGGAGAATCGAGATGCCAATATAGACAACGTATAGATTCTTATACTGTGTTTACATCGTGCGGTACAGGAGGACAGTACACTAAAACAACGAAAGGGACGGGACGGACTCAGACTTGATAGAAAACACAGATGCTTTTATTTATGAAAACAAAACTTTTTCTCTTTTCAGTGAATGAGCTCCTTATCTGATCACACAAACTCAGTGTCCATGTCTGATTTTGTGTGAGCCATGAAGCAGCGTCATGTCATTTAAATTAGAAAAACAAGCTTGACTAATTATAATAAAAATTTTCTTGGCTCTGGTTCCAATTCTCTTTCTGCTGAAAAAAACATGGCCCCCTCTCTGTAGCTGCTGCACTGAGCCTCATTTTTGGTCTTAAAATGTTCATATTAACTCGCTCTACATAATCCGTGTATCATTTGTTTTCGTCATTATTTGTCTCCAAAACCAAAATGAAAAAACGCATAACAATTTGTGTTTTCATTGTTCAATTTTATGTTTAAATCAATAATGGAAAAAACGGATAATAGCTGTTTTTTCATGACTTAAACTGCGATGCCGAACTTTTGTGCAGCATGTAGACTGAACCAGGACTAAAACAGGACTAAAACAGGACTAAAAAACAGGACTGAACAGCTCTAAACCAGAACTGAACCAGGACTAAACCAGGTCTCAGTCCTGGTCTCAATCCCCGTCTCAGTCCCGGTCTCAGTCCCGGTTGGTCCCAGTCTGGTCTCGGTTTCCTGATCACCCGACAGTCTACACTGGCGCATGTCTGGACCAGTCCCGATACTCCTGGTTTAGTCCTGGTTTAGTCCTGGTTTAGTCCTGGTTTAGTTCTGGTTTAGTCTTGGTTTAGTCCTGGTTTATTCTTGGTTTAGTCCTGGTTTATTCTTGGTTAAGGACTGAGACCATGACCAGACCAGGACTAGGACTGGGACTGAGACCAGGACTCAGACTAGGACTGAGACAAGTTTAGACCTGGTTTAGAGCTGGTTTAGACCTGTTTTAGTCCTGGTGTAGTCCTGGTTGAGTCCGGTGTTGCAGTTTAAGTCACGTAAACAGGAAACGGCCTTTATCCGTTTTTTCAATTATTCATTTAAACACAAAATCGAAAAATGAAAAAACAAATCATTATCCATTTTTTGTTTTTTGAGACAAATAATGAAGAAAACACTGTTTTTTAAATTTTCTTATTTTTGATTTTATATTGAAAAACTAATGAACGAATGACACATGTCAATGTTTTTTTTTAAATACATTTCTGTAAATCAAGATATGAACATTAATAACAAACAAATCATGGACCTTTTTTTCAGAAGTTGCTCCTGCTAGAACTACTTCTTACTTCTTACTAACTGGAACGGAGCATTATCCACAACAGCCTCTCTCTGGATTGGCTCTTTGGTTGCTATGATACTCGCGGTTAGAAATCCAAATAAGGCACTCGGCTCCAAATTCGCCCTTATAACTCTTGGCCTTGATGAGCTTCATTTGACTGGACATTACACTCCCTCTGTCCACTTCTTTATCCGCTCTCTGGTTTTATATTACTGGCAAATATTTACTTGTGCTGTGTTTGCTATCCATCTGTTATTCTGAGAAGTGTTGTGTTTACCTTGACATTTAAAAATTGACGCTATTAAATCACTAAAATGTCACTTAAAAATCAATATGTTTCAGAATGTTATACTTTTCCCCATTTGCTCGTCTTGTGCAAAAACACAAATTCAGCCTGTCCATTTTCTCAAACGCTCGTCTAGTTTTGATTACCCTCTGACAGCTGGGTCCTGATTGGCTGATGGAGGACTGTCTCTGTGAGTGACGGCAAATCTGATTGGTCCAGTTTTGTGCACATTTATTTGACTGACATGTTCATTTCTCATTCACTTCACTCTTAATCATATCCGTCTTACACTGTCATAGAAACGTACGAGCTTTGCAGAACTGGCCTGTTTATTCAACGCCCCGTACCTGATGCATCTGAGCAAAATGTGTCTTTCCCCAGTGTCTCGGTACGATATTATCTTAATATGCATCTCACGATACAATATTTATTGTGATATTTTGAAGAGGCTAGTGTAACTGTAGGTAGGACATGTTTCTGATTTTAAAATACCTTGACAAGATTTTGGTGTGAATTTTTTCTGTCATAACCCCATGAATTCAAGTAAAAAACATATTTATTTATGTTGTTTGCACTGAAATGAGTCATGGGATATGTAGTTCCCGATGTTTAGAAGCTGTTGCTACTATAAAACCTGCATTTAAGCAAAGGAAGTTGTAATTCGATATATTGTGAGACTTTTGACAATACGATATCATAATATTTCGGTTATTGTTACATCCCTATTAAGCAGCTCTCAAGGTCAAAATAAGTCTGCTGTGTACTCTGCATCTAGTTTTTTATTGTCCGATAATCAGGAAGTGCGTGTTAGCATGTTATTTGTGGTTCGCTTTAATGTGACAGAAAAACTCTGCATTGGTCTCTGAAAGTTGTAAAGAGCTCTTCTAAACTCATCATGGTGAATAATTTTGATGTTCTGAATGCATAAGGTAAATGAAGAAGAACTTTGGATCACTGCAAACCCTTTAAAATTAACTAGTTCTGTTTTTCCACATTTTTAAGACAAAAACAACAACACAATTCCAAACAGGGGCTCAGGCAAGAGCAGCTGTGTAACAGTGTGTACCTACTGATCCGAATCCCACTCTCAACATAAACATAGTGTATTTTTCGGACTATAATTCGCTCCGGTGTAAAAGTCACACCAGCCAAAAAATGCATAATGAAGAAGAAAAAACATATATAGGTTGCACTTTTTTGGGGAAATATATTTTATAAAATCAAAGACCAGGAACCGACATTTCCTGTGTAAAATCAAGTACTAGTAATAACATTAGAACAGAGAACAACAGACTGTTAACGTCACATATGAACAGTTCTTCAGATAAACTATAACATAAACAACAGAACAAGTTTACCAAACTCTCCATCTCACTCCAAATCACTAAATCCAATCAATTCTTCATCCTCGGTGTCACTTCTGAACAACTCCACGACCTCCGGAGGTAAACAGAGCGCCACTTCCTCTTCTGTGTATCTGTAGCAGACTCAGCATCAGTTCCAGTTAGAATTATTCGGGTCTTTCTGAATCCTGACAGGATGGTTTTGGTGTCACTGAAGTCCAGGCTTTGTCCATCCATCCAGTGACTTCCAGGAAAGTTTCATGATGCATCCTCCCAGTGTCACAAGTTTCTCTCTCACTTCAAACATTCTTTCTGCTGCTCGATTACCATTTTCGGCTACTTGCAGCAGGACAGCGGCTTTTCCTACAGGAGACATGTGCAGTAGAGTGAAGTGACAGTGGTACAGGAGGAACAGGAGCAGCAGATACTGACACACAAGACTAGAGCCTCTCACGGCTTCAGAGTGAAAATAAGAGTATAAGTCGCAGGAAACACCCAAACCATGAAAAAAAGTGTGACTTATAGACCAAAAAATACAGTACTTGTTTGACAGTCAATTCCACTGATTCACAGTTTGGCGGTGTGATTCTAGCTCCCACAGATGAATGCTCTTGTTGTTTCCTTGGGCAAAACACTTAACCCGCCTCGCCCCTGGTGCCTAAACTGGTGTATGAATGTGTGTGAATGTGTGTGGTTTCTTGATATAAAACACTCTGAGCCTTGAAGGTGGAAAAGCGCTGTATAAAGATATGACCCATTTTACCAAATCCTATATCTGCTGCATTCCTGATCTGAATATCCTCTGTTTTTGTTTGTCTGTTGCAGGTGACATCACACAGAAGGGCTATGAGAAGAAACGCTCCAAGCTGATCGGATCCTATCTGCCCCAGTCTCCAGGTACAAAACCACTACACTTTATTTTCATTAGGACGCTCGGTTTCTGGGTCAAAAGATGCATTCATGTCCCGCTTACACAACAGATAAAGGATTTCTTGTTCTGCTGCTCTGTTTTAAACCAGCTGACTAGTGTAATCGAATCAGTTTGAGGCTACTAAAAATAACAACATTATGTGGCCACTATTGTGCTGTGTCTCCATTTGAACCCAGTGACTTTGTATGACTGTGTTCTTATGGCCTTTGTCATTTAGCAGACTTAAAGGTCTTATATCACGCAGAACTGACTCCTGTGAGCTTTAAGTCACGTTATAATGTTGTCACCTCATCAAAAACAGACCTGGAGTTGTGTTTTGTTTCATTCACACATTTGTCTGTCTATGGCCCTATCCACACTAGTTCGTATTCGAGTGATTTTGGTTGTGGATGCAGTGTTCGTTCACACTAATCTGATTGAAAACGGCTCCAGAGACGGAACGATCTGGTGCCTCCAGCTCCCACGAATTCATCTGAGTACAGATCTGATCAGGTGTAGTATAGCATTTTGACCCCACAGTGAGGTGACCCCGGGGTCAACATACCATATAGTATTTTGACCCTGGGGTCAGAATCCTGTTATAGTATGTTGACCCCCCCTATAGAATATTGACCCCCTCATGAAAATCTACATTTTATTAATAAAGAACTTGAATTCTATAGAAAAATGTTGAATATTAATACTATATCTGCAAATTAAAACATATTGACATATTTAAAAGTGTTTTTTGAAGAACTCAGATGTATTTCTTATGTTGATTATAACTTTTGAATGTTAAAAATGACTTAGTTGTTTAAACATATTTGACTGAAAATGAGATAAGTAGTTATTAATGAGTTAGATAATCAAAGTGATGTATAATGATTCAGAATCTTGTTTAAATAAACAGAGGTGATCAATTGAGTAGTTAAATAGGGGATATGAGAAGATGTAATTACACAACATGACCAAATTCAAGGTCATTATTCTTTCAAACCATTGCCTAAATTGACATTATGATGAAGGATTATCTGAACATAACAAACTAAAAACCATAACAATGTAAAATACAATATAAAAAGTGACCAGATTGCTCTGTATATGCAATTTGAACAATATGTTACATTTACACAAAATACCAAGTCGTTCTCCATCAAAACATTCCTTAAAATACCTTAAAAGAAAGTGAATATGGAGCAATATATAATAAAAGTCAATGACAGGAATAAGGAATGAGGAATAATGATCAGATAAGTAACTACTAAAAAAAAAAGTAAGGGGAGTCCAAATCCTATAGGGGGGTCAGTTTACTATAGCGCTATGTTGACCAAAATACTATCTCACCCCGGTACTGTGTGGACGCCTGAAAACACTCATACACTGATGTAGATCTATGCACCACGAAATAATTCACTGCCGATCTTTGGGAGAATTAACAATTGATTGTCGATTAATCATTAACGTTTTTATTTTAAAATTATCATCATTATTATTACTATCTGCACTACTAATCTGCATAAATAAATTCAACTTAACGACATATAAACTATAACCACTCTAGAGCCACATCAGCTGTTTGATATTATAATGTGTTTAATGGAGTTTGTGCTCACAGAAACAAAACTTAAAACTTAATGGCTAATTTGCATAAATTAAGCAAAGAAAAAAAACAGCTCTTGTGTCGCTGATGTGGTTTAACTTCTGTTGGATTAAAAGACATGACTCAGGTGAATACAGGTTAGTGTGATCATATTTGCGTTTGTCAAAACCAGGACACCGTACGGGGGGAGGGAGGTGGGGCCTCGTCATTGACATTGCGCGATTCTCACCTGGTAAAACTTTTTCATGTTTTTTGGTGTTCTGGTGCTTTGAGGTCCCTGACACCCCCGTTGGACACCGACACATATGTGCTGCTTTGTACACTGTGCACATGGCCTCCCACTTGTCTCAACTGGGACGGAAAGCATGGAATTTCTTGTACAAGTCATCGTTAAATGCACATTTGTGCTTTGGCATGTTGCACACTGACCAACTGTTTGTGTCTGCTCGCTCCTTCTGAGTGCAGAGAGAACTATGAGAGACATTCAGTTTAATGGCCCAATGAAAGATAATGAAAACCGGGACATTTGCATCACTTTATTAAAAAACAAAAACAAAACCCAGACGCCCAGGACAAGACGTGAAAAACGGACATGTCCAGGGAAAAACGGATGTTTGGTCACCCTATAGCCGCAACACACAGCAACCAACATTCGGGTTGTCGATAAAAAATGAATGTAATCGATGAAATTCTTAATGATCAATTATTGATTAATTGACTAATGATGCCCATCCCTAGTTCACTATGTAACTTTTCTAGTGGTGGGCCGTTACCTGCTGCTTGTCACCATGGAGATGTTATTGCTTCGCCCGGAAAGTTCGCAGTATGGATTAAATGTCTTGATCTTTTATTTATTTCATTACACATATTTTGTCGCATGTACTGTATCTGTACTCTCCTCTCCACAGATCTGCCCTTTGACCCACCCTGGTCACCGGTTTGTCGGAGCAAAATGATAACATCTCCATGGAGACAAGCAGAAAAGTTACATAGCGCATCGTTAAATTCGACATATTAAAATTGTGATTAAATTTGACTGAGACAATAAAATCGAATGCCAGGAGCTTCTTGAACTGTAATGTGGTGCAGATTTACGGCACTGTGAAAACTCTAACCACAGTGTGTTGGTACGAGCCTGCACTCACTCACGGCTGACATTAATTAATATTAGGACTGCTTTACTACGGGGAAAATACTAATACAGTTTTTTTATTGTTTTGATATTCACAAACTAATGAAATAAAAAAGGCAGTTATTAACATACTGTGTGCTCATACAAACCACTACAGAGTTACTAGAAATCAAAATATTTTTATTCATTGCATCAACTGTTTTTGTATAACATGAATCAAATGTGATGCCGTTAAATCAATCAGGACTTAAAGGTCGTATAGAGAACCTGCAGTCACGAGACCATTTTTGTTATGGTCCCCATATTGACCCTCCTGATGACAGTAGCATTCTAGTAACATGGCTTGTCTGTGGTTGTGTTATAAATTCTCCAATTTATGGCAGCCAGTGTGAGAAATACGATTAACCCATCACATCACCTAAAAAGCCTAAAAAAAAATAAATAATCCAGACACCATCCCGTACAGACCTGGACAGGGTCAGCCCGATGTTCCTGATCTTCCTCCAATTGCGGTAGGTTTCTGTGTTCCCTGTTAACCCTGCGGGCCGTCCTCATTAGTGATGGGCATTTGATGAAATTTTCTTAATCGATCGTCGGAAGAATTAACGATCGATTATTGATTAATCATTAACGTTTTTATATTAAAATGATCATCATTATTATTACTATTAAATTTCTGTTGGATTAAAAGACATGACTCAGGTGAATACAGGTTAGTGTGACCAGATTTGCGTTTGTCAAAACCAGGACACCGTACGGGGGGAGGGAGGTGGGGACTCGTCATTGACATTGTGCGACTCTCACCTGGCAAAACCTTTTCCCACTGGACACCGAAACATATGTTCCTGCTTTGTACACTGTGCACATGGACTCACACTTGTCCCGAACACAACGGAAAGCGTGGAATTTCTTGTCCAAGTCATCGTTAAATACGCATTTGTGCTTCGGTACATTTCAGACTGACCGACTGTTTGTGTCTCGCTCCTTCTGAGTGCAGAGACACATGTACAGACCTGTTTGGTCACACTACGCACAACAACCTGCATTCGGTTTGTCGATTAAAATGAACGTAATCGATGAAATTCTTAATGATCAATTATCGATTAATCGACTAAGTTATCACCATGAACTCATAAAACAGCAGCATGTAGAACTTTGTACAAACTCACCACATCAGACCGGAGCAGAAGCACTGAGTTCGGGTAAGTGGTAACAGTAGCAGCCAACAGAGCTAAAAATATAGAAGCACTCACTGTAGCGTGCAGCCCCTCAAGACGGGATTCATCACTCCCTGCTCCAGCTCCTCTGAGCCCGGCCCGAGCCAGAGCTGCTCCCGCTGGGTCAGGACTCTGGTTTGGATCTAGTCCGACTGTAGCATTTCTCACACGAGGCTAAATGCACTTCATTTTATAAGCTGAATCAGTCGAATAGGGCCTATTCAGTGTCATCCACGTGGTGTCTTTTTCTTATTTCACATTTGAGTCTGTATTGCTCAACAATAGGAGGGTTTCAGTCACGTGATCACGATGATGCGCAAATTTCAGGTGGAGGGCAGGAAGTGAAGACAAACACGACAAACACGGCTCTGGAGAACACAGATATGGAGAAGAGTTCTTATTGTAAGGATTTAGAGCCAGTAGCAAGACAAAAGTACGAGCAGTTAGTCGACAAATATATTGGACGTGACCCTGATCTTATTGAAAATGAGAGAATTTTTGACTGAAGTAAAAGATTTGCCGACAATCGAGGCAGAGGAGATCACGAACTATTTAGCTCTTCAGACATCGTTCTACACCAGACAACAGATGAAGACGTGCAAAAGTTTGGAGGCATAGAACTTTTTTTTGTCAGTGAATGGGTCCACAACTTTGGTGCAAAACGCCTAAATGATGATTATCGTTTGGTCTTTGCCGGGGTGAGTGTTAATCTTATTTTATGTGTATAGACGTTATGGGAAAAAACTGCAGTGTATCGGCAGTGACCTCTATCTGAACTATTTAATGTCAACAAACGTCGTTCGCCGTTAGTCGTTAATGATTCGTTTATGTTTAGGTAAACCACAAAAAACAATTTAGCTTTGTAACAAACCTTTGATGAAGTGTCACTGCAGACACGAGCATTAGTGAATTCTGCTCCTCCCGACCGCAAACAGGTTTGTAATCCACTTTTTACGGCGTTGTTCTGTCAGCTTTTCAAACCATTTCTGACCTTTGTGGACGACTATATTTGGTACTCTTAAAAAAAAAAAAAAATCG